CCACTACTGAACATCCTCCTCCACAGACTGCCGCAAAGCATGGTCCTGAGCCACTTTGCTCGTCATGAGTTTTTCATTTATGTTCTAAGTTATAATTAGTACATATTATTAAGTCAGTGTTAATTATATTTATTGCTATTGTTTTTTTCTTTCTCAAAAAATAATTAAATTACCAAATAAATTATAAGGTGTTTTTATATACATCAAATGTCTGATAGAAAAGCAAGTACATGTTTTGCTAAACTTTAAAATCAAAACCCAATTTTAAAACATAGACTAATCGATTATAACTCCTTTAACTTTAAAATAAGATAAGTTTTTATTAATGGTATTTATTCCAGTTTGCGATTCATGTAAAGAATAAATAAAGCTAATCGTATATCGTATATCTATTTACAGCCCCATTAATATCCACTATTCTTTTATAATTATTTTATAAAAACGTTAGTGCGTTTATAAAAGCGTTAGTGGATTTTCTCCTGTACTGCGGAGGCAGCTTACAAACATAAATTGCACAAGGACACACATCCAGACCCGAAACAATTATTTGTAGGATATACAAATACTTGTTCCGTGCGGGATTCAAAACACATTGCTAAGCCACTGCGCCACGGAGCCGTCGTCTAAAATAAAATAAATTCGTCCGCACATTGGCCCGAACTGAAGTAAACTGAACGACGTTCCAACGTGTGAACGCCGTCACTAACTCTCGGTGTTGGCCAACGTGTAGAGGCGACATAAAACTATAGATTGTTTCATACATTTTATGTCGCTATTTGAAATTCCCATTGACTGTACTGGTATAACCAATGAAATTATCATTAAAATGATATTACTTAAAGTAAATCTTCAAGATTATACTACACCGATAGTGTGATTTTAATAAAAAAAAAAACGCTTAACAGCTTATCTTATTGCATTGTCATTGTAGTAAAACATGTTTCGTGATTTTTGTTCTTTTTCTATAAATAATCGTGAATATTTTGACGGTACAATTAAATCTGATTTAAAGCTCACGGCGCATTAAGCTTGGTCAAGAGACGATTAGTAAACGTCTTGTTAGATAAGAACGACTATTAATATAAAGTTGTAAGGGGTGACAAAGCAAAACTGCTACAGGATATGGGTAGCAGCATATTTCTGATAACAACTCACATTAATATAAACCTGCGGTTGCTAACCCACTTGCCAGGCGTGGCAGTGGCAACTGCGGCAAATATCTTCTTAATCAATGAAGCAATTAAAGAAACAAAATATAGGTAATGTTCAGCAGTGACCTTCGATAGGCTGTGTTGATGATTGATGATTACGGAAGTTTATTACCAATTTCCGAATAATATCTTTTATGTCTTAATTGCAAAGTGTTCGAGGTTGAAACTTAACAACATAAGTTAGTATTTTAATCCTAAAATCTATAGATAAAATGAATTCTGTATGTATTTAGAAAATTATTGTAATGCTTATGCTATATGTAAGTACATATTTATATTGATAGACCACAAATCCTCGCGAACGAAAATCGATTCCTACCAAGGATGATCCGTGAGGCAAATTGAAATTAAAAAACATCGTAACTTTAATAGAGAAGGAGGCTTGGTACTACCACCTACTTGGGACCATGTAATTAATAAAATTAAAACTAAACCCAAGCAAACCACTGCAAGACTTCAAGACCGAGTAAGATCATTCTGCATAGATCGGGCTATAAACAATAATTAAAAAGCTAAAGGTATTCCGGGTTAACACTGCCATCGGGACGTCAGTCACCTCAGTCCCCGCGACCATGGGTGCTGGAAAGCACCCGAAACGTCGGGAATTAAAAATTAAAAAACGCGATAAAATCCGTAAAAGTAGTTTTAATCAACGTGTAGTGTTCGCGTAGATATAAGAAATCGTTATATAATATTCTTGCTTACTCTTGACTATTCATGGACAATTTTTTAATCCGTTGTTTAAAAATATTCAAGCTGGAATCCTCTAAAAACGAATGCTCGTTTTTCCGTTATTGATACGCTTGCTATGGAACTGACATTCCCCTACCCTCCTCCGAGCTCTCGATTGGTAATCTATGTATTTTTAGTGTGATATATACGAGATTGATCTACTACATGATCAAGCTGACGCCACTAGGGTTCATCATCATCATCATCATCATTTCAGCCCTTGACAAGTCTACTGCTGAACATAGGCCTCCCCCAATTAATGCCACAAAGCACGGTCCTGAGCCACCTGCACCTATCGACTTCCTGCATATCTTAGCAGGTCGTCACTCCATCTAGTGGCTGCCACTGTTCTTCGATCTATATGGCCGGTCCATTGCCACTTCAGCTGACTAACCCGTTGGGCTACTAGCAAACTACTTTGGCTGACTAGGGTTGCCATCTCCTAAAATCAAAAAGCCGGACTCGGCACTCCAAAAAGCCGGACTGTTGGCCCTAAAAGCCGGACAGAAAGTTTTAGAAAGCTCGACATAACTTTCTGAGGCCATGCAGCCGAAACACTCACCAGCTCCAACCCCCAGAGAAAAAAATTTAAAATACTCCGTTACATACATTAATTGTTTATTAATCAATCACAGCACAGTTTCAAGTGTATAGATTACTTGCTTATTAATCAAGCACAGCACAGATTCAAATAAATTTAAACCACTTATTACTTACAATAACAGTCAACAAAACCAGTTTTCTGTTTGTAGACTTTATAAAAAAATTACAATTTTAAACAAAGTACTTTATTAACATTTTCACAAAACAAATTTTAAAAAAACTACCTATTTTAAGATAAAAAATTAAAAACTACAATAAAGTAAGTTTTATTATTTAAATTATTAGATACGATTAAAACTTTAGAATAATAATCTATATTTTGGTGTATTTGGCCTTTTCGCCTACTTGGTCCAACATTTATTTTTCCTTTGAAATCATTTCGTAAAATTCTTTACATGTTGCACAGTGTGAACATCATCTTAGCAATTGTTTCCGTTTGTAATTTATTGCGTTCCTTTGTCCAGTGGGCGTTAATCAAAGAGAAAACTCTTTCGATGTTGGCGTTGTGGCCTGGAATCGCAAAGTATTATTCTGCTAATTTAAGCAGAGCCGTGGTAGCTCAGATGGTTAGCGCCCGCTGTAAATTTCACAGTGCGCGAGCAAACCGGGTTCGATCCCCGCCGGCACCAATGAAATTATTAACTGCAATTTTAAGTGCTGATTTACCACGTGCTCAGCGGTGAAGGAAAACATCGTGAGGAATACTGCAGTTCCGTATAAAATTCTTCGTTATGAAATGACTTAAAATTAGCTGTCAATTTTTATGTGCCAATAGCTTTTTAAATTCAGAGTCGTCCTTTTGTTCACATCAGCTAAAGTCATCCACTGAAAAAGTTTCAATTCGGCAGTGTATTCACTTGTCCAGGAGTTTAAGTAGTCTTTGGCAATTTTGTAAATATTATTCATATTTTCTTTATATTCTCCCACCCGATCTGGGTAAGCCTCCAATAAACGCCGTAAAATTCCAGTTACTTTGATTGAGCAGAAATTTTGTTCCAGCCTATTGTTTATATTCTGCAATATTTGTGAACACTGATCAATCACTTCGTTGACGGAAATATCTGCAGTTTTTGTGCTTTTTATTCGATTTTGGTATATGGACATAAAGGAATGCAGAAAAAATTTCAATGATGTGGGCGAATGACTCAACGAAAGAAAATATGACCTCAATGGCTCGTACATTTGTAAGATTCTTTCTATGGCGGGGTAAAGAAACAACTATCTAGTTTTTGAATGGTCTAAAATGCACTTCTAAATCGGAACATATGTTTTTTAAAGCCTCTGTTGCACTGTAAAGCTGGAAAAATGCTAATCAAAGTACCGAATCGCTCTCCCCAGCGGCGGGGTGGGACGGGGGCCCCACTCCCGCGTCGCCAGCACCGCACTGCTCTTCGCCGCCCGCGCCGTAGCCATGTTTTAAATATAGCATTGGATGGTAATAATGTATATGGATAGATAAATTCGGCATTGCTTCTCTCATTCTGCAAGCGATGCGTGCAAGGCGTTACACTAACAAAAAGTCTAACAAAAGCCGGACAGGCCGGACATATAAAAATTTGGCCTGACACAACCCGAAAATGCCAAACATGTCCGGCTAAAGCCAGACAGATGGCAACCCTAGACGCAACCCCAAGTCAAGTCAGAAACCCCATAAGAATAGAATGATGGCTCCTCTTTCACAGATATTGAAACCCAGTAACTAAGTATTAATTTTATAATTTCTGTCTAGAAAAGATAAATATGTCTAGAGATTCTAGTGACTGTTTATCCGTCATACAACACAGTATGATGTTTGTCACCTTAATTCAAATTAAAAAGAAATTGGTATCCTCCTCTTTTTTTAATTATTTTTTTTTGTAGTCCAGGAGGAATGGTTACGTGGCAATAAGGTGGTCTTTTATTTTCATTATTTTTTATATTTTGCAATAAAAAATCTTTGATTTACTATAAAGAATAATGTATTATATTGTAGGTAGGTATACGCATACACACAACTGGTTGGTTTTCCAAAAAAAATTACCTACTTTGATAGTTTTACAGCAAGTTGTAAAGTTTGAAGGCGTGTTGAAAATACATTTCGTTACTTTAATAACACTTTAACATAAACGTTAATTTTAATAAAATAAACATGCTATATGCTTCTTTTAAATTGCCTTTTATTTATAGAATATTCTTAACCCGGGGGCAGTCGCTACTGGGTAAAATATACCACAGAGTACTTAAATTCTAAGCTAACTTTTTTTAAAAGCGCGCGAGCAGATTACAATTCTAGGTACATTCAAGCTGAAACATATTCCATGTGCGGGTCACTTGGCAGCCAGTTTTGCGCGCGGTGCTTCGCGACAACGGACGTATAAAGTGCGTAAGGGTAAAAATTACCCAGTAGTTACTGTTTTCGTTATATTATTTTTCGGTTTGTTAATAAACATTTTTTTGTATAAGAGCTTTTTCACGATGTCTTGTCCACTAAAGGAGAATACAATAGCACAATTGCTAGAAGAGGAAGACGATGAAGAAGAAATTGTGTCGGAAAAAGAAGATTTCAAAAAACAGAGTGAGCATGAAAGTGAAACGGAGCAGGAAGCAAGTGATTCGGACACACCCTCAGAATCAGAAGAAAATTTCCACCCTCATTGCCCATTAGAATTAGATCAACAGACTGAAAGTGAAGGGATTTATAACGAATATTTAGAAGATGTGCTATTGAAGTATCGTAGACTAGGGAAATTTATTGGAAAAGACAAAATAACTGAGTGGCAAGTCCGCGAGCCACCACGGCGTGTGTGAACGAGATCTCATAATATTATTATACACTTGCCGGGTCCCATTGGTAAAGGAAAACGTTGCTCGTCTATGTTAGAAGCCTGGGATCTTCTTTTTCCAGAGTCTTTCCTACAAAAAATAATCCACTATACAAACATGTATGTTCAAATTTTGAAATCTAACTACTCAAGAGAACGTGACTGTAAGCAAACGGATATTATTTAAATAAGAGCTCTTTTTGGATTACTTTATTTGTGTGGACGACTGCGAAGTGGTCACCTAAACACAAAAGATCTCTGGAAAAAGGATGGAAGTGGTAGCGATATATGTATTGCCGCTATATCACGCGAAAGATTTCATTTTTTACTTAGAAGTTTACGTTTTGACGATATTCATACAAGAGCTGAAAGAAGGCAGACAGATAAACTGGCGGCTATAAGAGAAGTTTTCGAAGAGATCAACGATAACATAAAAAAATACTATGTTGTGGGCGAAAACGTGACAATTGACGAAATGCTGGAGAAAACACGTGGTCGTTGCCCATTCAGGCAATATATACCGAGTAAGCCTGGGAAATACGGTATAAAAATTTTTGTGATGGCTGACGCGCGAAGCTTCTATACAAATGATTTAGAAGATTATGTTGGAAAAAATGAAGGGCCATACGATCACAGTAATTCACCAAGCGATGTCGTCAAACGTTTGGTAGAACCTATAAAAAACAGCCATAGGAATATCTTGATGGACAACTGGTTCACCAACTTCCCATTGTTGCGTGATTTGTAAAACGATTATGGGTTGACAGTGCTCGGAACCTTGAGAAAGAATGAGGCTGAAATTCAGACAGTTTTTACAAGTACTCAGGGTCGGGAAGTTCACACTTCAATTTTTGGGTTTCAAGAAAACTGTACTATGGTGTTTTACGTCCCAAAGAACCATGACGGCAAAAAAGGTCCCGGAGAAGAAAGAAAACCCGAAATGATAGTAGATTACAACGCGAACAAATATAGTGTCGATGTTGTGGATGAGATGTGTGCTACCTACTCAGTTGCACGGACAACCAGAAGATGGCCGTTAGTAGTTTTTTATGGGCTTTTGAACATCGGTTGCATTAATGCATACGTTATTGTAAAAGCAAATAAAGAAAATAATAGAGCGGTGATGGCTAAGAGAAGAATCGCCCTGAAAGACCTAGCTTTGGGACTTGTGATGCAACAAATAAAAAGAAGGACCACAGTTCATAATTTGTCACCATATATAAAATCAAAATAAAGTTTATCCTTAGTTCCAACTTGAATGGAGAATCCCCATCTGAGAGTTTAGCCGATTCGCGACCCTCCACAGCTTACACGTCAGCATCTCGCTATGCAGTATGTGTATGGAAAAAGGACCTGAAAACGAAGACAATCTGTGAATTGTGCTGTAAAAAGATTTTCAAAGAGCATACGACTCCAATCTGTGGCGAGTATTTTGATAGAGTAAAGTAATTTTGATTGGCGTTGACATTTTGAAGCAAGCTATTTGATGATGATTTTCTCAAACTTCGCTTATTATAAAAGTATAATTATTTTGTGTTCATTTTTATTAGTTAGTTTTTGTTGTTTTTGTTAAGAATACAAAGAATTTTTAAAGTTTTTGTTATTAATTAATAATTAGGCCTCGTTTAAAATAAAAGATGGCTACAACTTGCATTTGTAGTTTTAGGGTGTTTCGCGTATTTCGTGCAAATTCCACGACATTTGTAAATGTCAAATTTATTGCCGAATAACTTCGTTTTTTCCCCAATATCTTTAATATCCATAAAATCCTTCAACTTTTTGTGGTTTCTACCTTCCTTGTAAAGATAACAATAAAATTACTATCATATCAAAAATCGTAATGAAACGGTAATGAGAACGTCAAGGAAGGGACTGATATTGAGTAGTTAAGTTAAAGGATAGGGATGATGAGGGATTTTCATCGTAGACATTGCAACTTAAGCTTTCTAAAACACCCGTCCTGTTAGATTGTTTTAGTATTTTATTTGTATTAAGACATTTTATCAACAAATCGACATTAATATGAACTTTGCAAGCACACGTATTTCTACTGGACTCCTTTGGGTATAAAACCCATAATAGGCAATATTTACAAAATCTTTGATACGTTACTTTGACATTCGAATTATGCGTAAATTTTTTGTACAAATTAGTCAATGTGTCCGTTAAGTATCTTTTCTGCTTCCTTATTTGGTTTTTAGTTATATATTTTTTTATCAGCTGCAATTCTAGTCATCTCCTCATCGTCAAAAAACTCCAAAATTAGTTGCTCTTTCAAGTTTTCATTTTTAGCTGTCTTATTTTCTTTTTTATCTCTTACTGTAAATATTTTTGTTTGTGTCAAGAGTTTATATTTTTTTAACTTTCCTCTTTCGTCATAACCACATTAGAGAACTCTTTCTTATCCTTTTTCCTCAATCACTTGTACCCTTCTCCAACACTTCTTGAAAGTATTTTATCAAACATTATTCACTCTTTAATTTCTTCACGCTTTTGTGTATTAACATTTTCTACTAGTTTTTCTACTTTTGCTTCAGTCGATATATTTTCATTTTTCTTCTTATTTTTCATTATTCTATACAACATTTTTCTAATCCATCTTTCGGTTTCTTCGTTTTTTCTATTTCATGTTTCAAAATGCCTATTTCTTTTTTATGTATGTAGCGAACCTTTCTCTGAAGAGTATTTTCTTTAGGCACCCTTGACAAGAATTATTATTACCGTAATCCAAACGATTTTGATATGAATTAAGTATGAGGATCTTGTTCAGCTGGATGGTACTTCATTGTCACTATTTGGTGGAGAATTATCTATTAACAACTGTTGAATAGCTTTCTCTTTCTTTTTCTTTCATAATGACGTTTTGAATTAACTCTTCACTTCTTCCTCTGAACTCTCAATTGTCTAGGTGTCATATCTTTTGCGCTACTTATTTTTTTCTGTTCTTTTCTTTTAAAGTATCTTTTGCCTTCAGATCTGCATACTTTCAGGATCTTCTTTAATTTCTGCATACTTTCTTTGTTTTGTAATCGATCGCACTCTCGTTTCTGCTCTAATGTTTGTCTGGCTTTCTTTGGCATTATTAGTTCTTAATAATCTGTAACAACACATTATATGATATTGCTCGTATTCATCATATCAAGCTCATCCTTAATAACTAAAGTAATAAAACGTACACTCACAAAGTTAGCTTGTGAGTTTACTATTTGTAAACAAACTTAAAGCTACATCAAGAAACAAAGTAAAAACTATTAATTATTTATTTTACTATGAATTAAACTATTATTATAACTGTATCATAGTAGTATTATTGTGGAAAAAATAATCTCAACTACGGGTTGGACTAGAACTCGCGACCACACGGTTTGTAATGTAATAATGCACTGTAATAAATAATAATAAATTGACGTAAAATTGATTCTAATTGTCATCGTTTTGACCTCATCACCATCGCTAAAAAAAACGACGGTAAACGAAGGTAGTGAGGACGTAGGTAATGAGGTTTTTATTCTTATCTAATTGTTTCGTAAAAAAATATCAAAATTACGAATCTCGTGCTTACTTTAAATTACGGCGGTAATAACTAGAATTGATAATTAACTACATATTAAACAAAATCATTAATACTCACTTAATAATATGGACGAGAGGAAAGAGGACGATTCCAGAATAATCACCTCCTGCGAAACTTTACACGTAAATATTTTTTTTACAAGAACAGGCGTGAACCTTCTACGACGTTTGTTGGATAGCTGAGACTTGTGCGAAGCGCAGCATAGTGGTATAGTGACATTCACGCCAATACGCGGACCATAATTTAGATTTTCACTAAAACCGATGGTAATCAGAAATTTTTTTTGATAAACATTTATGAAATAAAATTTCTTTATATTGTGGGGTTATCGTTATTTATTTTAAGTGTAAACGTTGTGTTTTTTAATAAAGTTTCATAATATGGTTATTTTTTATATTTAATGTTTATATATTTGGTTAAAAATACAAATTTTTTTAGGAGAGTAGTAAATGGACACCGAATACAATGAGAATTATTGAAGTTTTTTATTTATCATTACGTTATTTTTATCTATAAATATTACGTGCATGTAAGCATAACTACTTTACATTTGATTTTCTTTATAAGAACTGTAGATATTTAATAAAAAATGAAGACTTTTCTCCTGGATGTGTAATGTGCACGAAAATTGAGAAACACCCTTTACTCATAGAACATAGTGTAAATAAAGTTAATACATAGCCAAAATTTAAAATGTTACTAATTCCTTTAAATTATTTCAAACTAATTCTGTGGTATTTTTACCCTGTAGCGAGTGTTCGTGTCAGTAATTACCTAGCGAGTACCGACGGGTTAAAATAACTTTGCATATAGTTTTGCATTTGCAGCATTGAAACAGTTCTTAAGTAATTTTGCTTTTTTTAATTTGAAAATCTTGATAAACTTAATATCTGGGAACGCCCTAGACGAAAGTTTATCGACTAAATTGTTGATACAGTCGACTCTCGTTTATTCAAACCCGCGATAATTCCTCCTATAATTCAAAGTCATCACGAGTTCCCTACGAAATATCTTTAAATTTCGAACTAAATCAATACATTTTTATGCACTTGATAATTCCAACCGAAAAATCATTGCTACGTAAAAAAACAACGCGTTAATTCCAACTCATCGGCGAGAGAAAGAAATAGAAAGATTGTAAGTTGAGACAAGTTCAAATTGTATCATCGTACTAGGCTGCACTAAAAGTATAAGGAATGGAATATTTCTGTTCCTGTTCCACTGTTCCTGTCATATTAAAATCTTTTTAATTGAAAACTCCTTGGTTTTAAAAATCGAATACCATTTATTTACATAATGATTTCTTAAATTTACGCGAACACTACGGATTTTATCGCGTTTAATTCAAATTTAATTTTTTTTTATAGAAGAGGGGGCAAACGAGCATGTGGCTCACCTGATGTTAAGTGACT